TACATTTTCAACAGAAGTCCCACGTGGAAGGGACACCTGGTACAGATGCAGGCAGGAGGAGGAGGAGCTGGTTCCAGAACACTCACAGCCCTGGGAGCCAGCGGGAGCCCGTGGGGGACCTGGAAAACAGGTTTACTAGAAGAATCAGCCACAGTGAGAACTGACACGTCTGCTTATCTCCTCCGCCCTAGATAGGCTGCTGTTGGGCTGAGACGTGCCCAGGGCAGGAGCCTTTTCCTGCCAGATTAGGGTCTGCTCCCTGTCCAATGCCTGTGATTTGTCTAAACACATATGCTGCCCCCACTGAGATCTGTGCAGAGCGTTTGGACACATGGCCTCATTTCTGAGACTCTTCAAACGATATTTGTTGCACTAACTCTCGATGGAGCAAATCCTTTGTAGGGAGGCCTGGAAGCCAGCCCTGCAGTGGACTGACAGGGCCTGCTCTGGAGCCCTGAGAAGTGGAAGCATGGGGCCCTACGGGCCACGGTCTTCCGTAAAGCCCAGATGGCACACACACAATATTTCCACATCTCTGCCTGGAGGAGCAGTATCTGATGGTGGAGGTGAGGCGTAGGGGAACCTGAAGGTAATTTTACCCATGTCCTCAGTGGGGGCCAGGGCTTCGGCTTCTGCTGGAATTAGCTACCCCAATGCCCAGTCAGGGCTTCCCACCATCCTTAGAATATTGTGTATGTAGGAAAAACGACCATTTTTCTCTTTTTAGTAGCATTTTTTAAATTTATATTAGTTACCTATATTCATTTTAGAGTATTTTTATGAAAAAGAAAAGATTAAAAGTGAAAATAAAAAGCATACATAATCTAACATCACAATCAATTATTGTCTTGATACGTGTTGTATAGTGTTATGTGTATATACTTATATAGGTAGGCATATATTTGTGAGTATAAATATGTGTATATTATGTATATGTGTTTGTTTTTGATAAAAAATTAATAAATTGAACATATTAGTTGTTTTATAACTTGTTCTTTTAGCTTAAATACATATTGTGAAAATGTCACTAAATATACTTCTATAACCTGATGCTTAATGACTCCATTCCAGCATTTACTTAATCTGTCGCTTTTGCTTGACATTTAGGTTGTTTTCAGTTTGTCATCCTATTAAACACACTTGCAGATAAATTCTTCCCTGTCTTGCTTATTTTCTCAGGCACATTCCCATAAGTAAAATCACTTCTTGGAAGAATATGCACACTTGAGGTTTTAGATATATATTGCCAAATTATCTTCCAGAAAAGATGTACGCATATACATTTTCACTGTGCTGCACTGATAATCCCGTCAGTACAGTTGCACCTAGTTGGACCCTGAATATTGTTCTTTTTGCTTTTTTAAAGTGCTCTCCAAACTGTAGACTAGACATTTCACTCAGAATGCACACTGTCTACTTGCTTGAAAAAAATGCTTGAAAAATTACATTTGGATTCTCCAGGCCAATTTATCACATAAGAAATAAGCAGGTTATGACTGAGACCATAGACCGTCCACCATAGACCATGGCATTATACTCTCTACCTCAAGGAGAAATCAACCCAGAATGAGATGAGCTTGTTTATAATTTTTATTGGCCTTTATCAGCCTTTTCCCCGAAGAACTAGAATTGTTCTAGGCTCAGGAATGCACAGTTCTGCATAGGTCCTGTCCACTGATTCTTACGTAGAATTTGCACCATGAGTCCATGAAAGCACCATCAGATGAGGTCTTCTAAAGAGCATATAAAGTTTCCAGAGGGGTGTCAAACAGGGGTATTTGCTGGTCTTCCTTTTTAATATATTAATTTATGATCTGTAACCACTCACAGATAAGCAGGCTATGGATTCTTGCTCTTTAGAAAAGAAGGCAAGCATTCTCTATAACACAGGTGACAAGGATTTATCTCAAACTATGAGCCCACCACCTGCTCCCTAACCATTGCCAGAAAGAAGGGCCACTGGACATACCATTCTGGAAAGAAAGTCACCGTCTGTATTTCCCTGACTTAAAAACTGGTGGATAAAAAGTTTCTACCTTTGGTGACTTAGTGATTCTTCAGCTTATCTTGGAAGCTACAGCAGGAAGTGGCATTGCTGAAAGCTAGACCTGCTGAGGGCATCTTGTGGGGACTCCTGGTCACCACGTGCTTATTTCACCTGCTTAGGAAATGCTCAGGTTGAGTCGCCCCAGCCCAGTTACATGAACAGAGGTTTGGCGAGTCTGTCGGCTGCTCCTCCAGGCACTGAAACAGAGCCAAAGCAGTATTTCATGAGAAATCCACCACTGCCTCAACCAGTCTCGGGTCAGGGCTGCGGCCGGCTCCTGGTGGCAGGTGTCATGACAGGCACCTCATATTCTGTAGAAAGATGTTAACCGACTTCCAACCACATGTTGAATATAAGCCTGGACTTAACTAGCAAAGCAGGCATTTGCCAGAGAGCATAGCGTAAACCATCTCCCTCCCAGTATTTTCTGAAATATAGATGCAGGAGACAATATTTGGGGAGGTTTCCTTGAGAAAACAGTTATTGAATCTATCACTCACCAGATGCATTTAAAGTGTCCCAGGATGGAGACGGCTTAGCAGAGAGCTAGGGACCGCTGGCATATCACAGTGCCCACTTCACCCTCCTCTCTTCAGCCGCATCCTTCAATTGCTTTTACACAGAACATCATCACGTGAAACAAGCCTATGAAACTCACTCGTGTGCCTTCAATAAGACTGTGGTGGAGAACACTGCTCCTTACACCACATGCTGTTTTCTTTAGGACCCCTGAGAACCATTCCTGTCTGACCCATGTGAATGACGGAATTTTCCCGAGCAATTGGTTTGTGTTTATCTCGTGGACATTGGGAACTGTACTGTGTATATAACATTTCCTTTATTCTATTGGTGGCTACAGTACTGTGGGCTCCACTTGTGACCCACCAGTCAGTAACAGATATACAGAAAGGTGGTTTTAGCATTATTGCCAGCTCCATTGTGTTCTTTTCCTCCTACCTTGGGTGGCCTCACTTTTAATTTACGCTATCTTGTCATGCTTTATGTCCCATTGTAAGCCACCTGAAAAACGTTCTGTGCAATAAGATTTGGTTTACACTGAAAAGCAGATAAATAAATAAGAAGTGGAAGAGCTCCACGCCTCGTGTTCCTATCTGTTGTCTTCCAAACTTCCATTACATTCTGCTTTAACATCCTTACACTGATAGACCCAAGGTTTAGGGCATGCAACTCAGAACTGTAGAAGTAACGATCATAAAATAATTGGAAAACCCAAAGAAAGGTATTGGAAGTATTGTGATTTTCCCATCTCATTTTCATCACCCAACTCAGGCAATGCCATTGAAATGACAAAGGCTTCTTGGAAGCCTGATGCACTTTAATACACTTTAATACTAATTATAATGAGAAAATAACACTACGTAATACTTGACTGACACGTGGAAGGTGACAGTGCTCTCTTTGTCTGTAGACAGCCCAGGGAAGTGGGAGGGGCAGGCATTACTCTTATTTTCATTCCACTGCCCTGCTAAGGAGCAAGGAGGAACTGTGTGCCCCTGGAGGTGGTCTCTCTGCACCTCCAGGGGATTTTCCAACTGCAGGAAATGGGCTCAACTGCAAGAAGAGAAGTGACACTACGAACTCCCACCAAAGTGTGCTGGCCACGGGTTAGGGACCAATGTCCAAACTAAGTCAGTCAGAAGAGATGATAGAGGACTCTTAACTCTTCTTAATATGAATTGGAGGGGCCGGCCTGGTGGGGCAGAGGTTAAGTGCACACTGCACGTTCAACTTTGGCAGCAGGGCTCGCCAGTTCAGATCCTGGGTGCGGACATGGCACCGCTTGGCAAGCCATGCTGTGGCAGGCATCCCATATATAAAGTAGAGGAAGATGGGCACAGATGTTAGCTCAGGGCCAGTCTTCCTCAGTAAAAACAGGAGGATTGGCAGCAGATGTTAGTTCAGGGCTAATCTTCCTCAAAGAACAAAAAAACAATATATGAATTGGAGGTAACTGGAGTCAGCTTCTTTCAAGCAATATTCCTGTTTCCTTGAACCAGAGGTGGTATCTTTCTAGAGTCATGCTCTCCAATAAGACTTTCTGCAATGTCAGAAATGTTCTCTATCTGCATTTGTCCAAAACGGTGGCAAATAGATGCGTGTGGCTATTGTGCACCTGAAACGTGGCTAGTGCACCTGGGCATCTGAGTTTTGAATTTAGTTTATTTTAATTAATTTAAATTTAAATAGCCATGGTAAGATTAACAAGGTTGCAGGGCACAAAATCAATACATGAAACTCAATTTTATTTCTATATACTAGCAATGAAAAATCAGAAATTGAGATTTGTTTAAATGCCTTTTAAAATAGCATCGAAAATGTGAAATATTTAGGGATAAGTCTGATAAAAAAACATGCAAGACCTGTACACCAAAAATTACAAAACCTTGCTGAGTGAAATTACTGAAGATCTTAAATAACTGAAGAAATATACCATGTTCATGGTCAGTAGACTCATTATTGCTAAGATGTCAGTTTTCCCCTAAGTGATGTATAGATAGATTCAATGCAATCAATTCCCATCAAAATCCCAACAGGCTTTTTTGTAGAAACTGACAAAGTGCTTCTAAAAGTCACACGGAAATGCATATATACACAGAGTCTAAAATATTGTTTGCCTTAGCCCTAGGAATCTGAGCTTAAAGGACAAAGTATGTTAGAGGCAGTTTGGAGAGGTCATAGTTGCAAATTCTAGCTCTGGCACCTTTGTATTTGTGGTCTCAATTTCTCCATCTGTAAAATGGGTATATTGATGCCTACATAGCAGAATTAGAGTTAAGATTTAACAAGATCAAGGATACAGAGCAACATCCAAGGAGCAGAGGTACTTAAAAAATATCCTTCCTCTTCCCCACCAAGCCCTTCATCACAGCATGCACTTTCTTCCCTTACCAAGGGATGGACAGGTGTGAGAAGGGGGCTTCTCCATCCTTACCTGGAGCCAAAGTTTGTCATGCTGAGACCACTTCCCGCCAGCAATGCACTGAAACGTGGCATTCTGCCCCACATTCACCTCAACATTTTGGAGCCGCAGAAAGTGAGGTGCTTTTCCTAAAAGAGAAACCAAAGGGCACATGAGGACAAATTCAACAGCCTGCACCACTTCCCTATCAGTAGATGGCAGCTCAGGATGGGCACCAGGCAGGGTGGAATTTGTGCCTGGGAAGTGGCCTCACTCACTGAAGAACTACTGTTGATTGATCACTTACTACAAGCCGAGAACTACTGTAAGGGCTTCACATGCATCCACTCACTTAAACCTCAAAATAATCCATGAGGTGGGCAGTATCTCCATTTCACAGATCAGAAAATTAAGGCTCCGTAGTTTGGCACAGTCAGCAGCCGGGAAGTGGGGCATCCAAGACATGAATCCAGGTCTCTGAGAACCTCAAATCCATATTATTAGCTGCTAGGCAATATTGCCATGTCTGGAAGAAGAAATTGAATAGGCGGAGGCTCACCGTAGCAGGTTCCTCCCTGTTGCCTGGGTGAGCAGAAGAAAGAAAGCTGAAGTGAAGCACCTTTGGGCCTGAGACCTCCACACATGGCCTTGGTGAGGATGCTGGTGATGCAGATGATGCAGATGATGAGGAGGGCAAAGAGCGGAGGAGGGAGAAAAGGCGGAGGAGAATGCTGGTGGCTTCCATTCACTTAGTGCTTACTAGGTGATGGGTGTCATGTGCAGTGTTTACACACAGTAACTCAGGTAACTCAATGCAGTTGGTAGTGGTGTTATCTCTATATTACAGTGAGTGAACCAAGGCACAGAGAATTCAAGAAATGTTCAGAGTCTACACTCTTCACTCTAAGATATGTTATCTCCTAAGGATGAGAAGGAGGTGGGACATTTACTCTGGGGACTTGGCCTAACAGGAGAAAGGACTTTCAAATGAAACTCACAGTGACCATAAGCAATCAATTCTAGAATTAAACATATGTTTTATGTTGGGTAACTTTGGTTCATCTTTTTCCTTGTTTACAGACACAGGTTCTCATCTAGGTGAGATCTCCAAAGATGAGTGACTTGATAACCTACGTTTAGAAGAATGAGTTTCTTCACTGAGGCACAAAAGTGCCAAAGATGCCTACCACATTAACAAATCAATGATGAAGCAGGCATCAACTACCGAGAACAAGATCAAACAGAGTGTTGTCAAGAGGATCGAGGAGGTTCAACAGGGCCCTTTGGCCATCTTTCCAGAAGGAGTCAAATATCCAGAGAGACAAATAATAACAACAATGTCATTTATTGAAAGCTCCTACAATGCCAGGTACTGTGATAAATGCTTTATATGTTTTATCTAATTTAACTTCATAACATTCCTGTAAAGCAGACACTAGTCTTATTTCCCTTTTAGAGAAGCAGAAAGCAAGGCTTACCAAGTTTAATTTGCCCAAAGCTACATGGTATTAATGACAGAAAAAGAATTCAGTCCTTTTTAATCCAAAACTCAGCATTTAACTAGCACATTCTCTTGCCTCCTGGGCAATGGGAGGTCAGTGGTGTCACCTGGAACCCACAGTCCAAGAAAGGGCTCATAGGCAAGGCTGTGCTGATCCTCCAGGATTTCTCATTGCTCCAGAATACTTTATCACAAGTGGTCCCTTTCCTTGCCATTTGTCCCCATGGCCTCCACGCTTTAAACTATCTGGTCTACCAAACTGTGTCACCATCTGTAAAGCTCAGCAAAAGCCAAGAACCTTGGCATGATGAGGCAGACTTGCTGTAGGAAAACATATACCTTCTGCTCAGGTTTTTAAACAAATAACAACAGCTCCGAGACCACCCCCACCCCGCTGCCTTTGGGACCCTATGACTAGAGTGGCATCTACAGTCAAAGGCCCAGGGAAGACCTCTCCTTGTGGGCTTCTCAGAGTTGAAGATTCCTGCATCCAGTCAACCTGAAAAATGTCAGGCTGCTTTGATCGTCTGAAATTGTTTCCTTTTTGCTCTCCTGTATAATTTTGTAAAGTTATTTTTGGAACTATCAGTTCAAGTCAATTCTTCAAGTGGGAACAGAGTGAACCCTGTAAGCCAATTTATGCCACAGGTTATGGGGGAAGGAACATCTACTGCGTGTAGGGAGGGAGCGTAGGGTCTTAGCTGCAATGTTGGGAGGCTTCGTGTTGGGTTTTAGAAAGGGACACCTCCCCTTACCCTTGGGGGACACTTGGCAAATGGCTTAACCTCTGGGGCACGTGCAGTTAGAAATGGATCTTCTCTGGATCAATGTCCCTGCTTGCTTCTGACTCTCCATTTCTCCATCTCAGCAGCAGACCTTTTGCCTTAATTCTTTCATCTTCTATCCCTCCTCCTCCCTTCCTTCGAGGTCCAGTGGAGAGAATTTAGAGGCTTAATGGCCCCTAGCATTAATATTCTGGTGAAACATTGATGGTTTACAGCAGACGTGTTGAACCCATGCAACTACAGGAGCCAGACAGTTATGTAGATGAATAAAGGGTTCAGTCAAAAAGCAAAGCAAAAACACCACCTCCTTGTCCCATCATTCATTTTCCCACTTTAGAGAGAGACATGGGTAAAATAAAGATTTCTCTATACAGACATGCATCGCTTAACGATAGGGACACGTTCTGAGAAATACGTCGTTAGGCTACTTCACCATTGTTTGAACATCACAGAGTGCACTTACCCAAACCTAGATGGTATAGCCTACTACACACCTAGGCTATACGGTACTAACCTTATGTGACCACTGTCCTATGTGCAGTCATTGAGGTTGCAACGTCATTATGTGACACATGACTGTGTAAGAAAACAACACTGTAAGCACAATAATAACTGGTATCTGACACCAGCCTCAGCATTGAGGAGGCAATAAGGAGTGGTGGGGACTTACACTCCATGCCCATTGAACGGGGACAGCTGTTCCTTAAATCCAGCAGATGGAGGTCAGGAGAGAGTGCTTTGCTCAGGGTAGCTAATCATCCGACTTCTCAAGGCAAGTAAGAAATCCAGGGTTTATGTAAAATCTCTCACTCAAAAATCTTGACAGAATTTTATTAAAACAACATGCAGACTTAACAAAACACGTCTACAGACACGCTCTTTTAGGTTGTGGTTTCTGTTACATACTCTTATGTAAGTCATCTGGAACAATTCCCACTGGCCAATCTTGCCCGAGCTGGACCATAATCTAGAGATGCTCCCACCTCTCCAGGCATCGTGCTGCAGGATCACGTGAGTGCTAGCCCTAGATGGTGGCTCCCAACACAGGAACTTATCCAGACCCCCCTCCTGTTGCTTAGCACTCTCTCCACGTTCACTGACTCTTGTCTCTGCTCTTTGAGCCCTTGCATCACCCCCACCTCATGACAGATTGCTCTCTCTCTGGGGATCCTCCTTATGTTGGGGACCTGTTTGGTTCACCTCTCTGAGCTCCTGGCCTCTCTCATCCCGCTCCCATCCCCTCATTCTAGTCCACTCCTGAGCTCTACGCTCTTTCAACTGTCATTTTCCCCAGCATCTGCAGCTCTGGGAAAGAAATTATCCCACCAGCTTCAATTCACCAATCTTCAGCCAAATACGGCTGACCTCAGCGCCCAGACGAGCCACCAGCTCAAGATTTTACGCATTTCACGCTTACTCTCTACTGAGACCCAGCACCCCAAAAACAGGATCCTGCTGAATGGGGTTAACAGAAAACTGGCTGTGTGTATGGGGCAAAATGCCTTGATGTTGGTGACATTTAAACTCCTGCAGACGTCAGTGCAGCATCTGAAGACATATTATTGTGCCCTTTATCTCGCTCTTTAATCCTGACACTGCTCAGTAGGAAGCCACACAATTGAGGAGAAAGCGCAGTACATACATTAGAAACATACTGCAGACACTCCGTGGGCTCAGTGACACGGCCCCACAAGGTTGTGATGGAAAAAAAAAAGTTTAAAAAACTCTAAAAGTCAATTTAGGAGCTAGAAACTTTAAAACTGAGTGGAAAAAATTGTGCTGACATTTATCGCACATGGTTATAACGGCAGTGGCCCTGCTAATGGCTAATACCGAGAAACGACAGCGGAGGGTAACTATGGCTAAAATACTTTTAGAATAACACAAAAATGTTAAATGGGCTATAAAGTATAGACGAGACGTTTCAGTTTGTAAGAGAAAATAATTTCCTTTGAGTATTACGCCTGTCTTCTGCTCCCTGTTTTGAGAGCTGTGAGATTAGCCTTGAAAGTCATCACTTTAGCTCAAATCAATCAAGAAACACAGCTGCAAATCAGAACCCCCCTGGAACTTTTGGAAAACTAAGTGGAATTGCTTATCGATAAACACTGACCACATGTTAATAGAAAAAATGTTTTGTAGGACAGAAGTGGGAAATTTCAAAGCCTGAGGACAAAAAGAGAATGTATGTTTCTCAGGATACTTAAATTTTTAACAATCTATGAGTGAAGTCATAAATGCATTAATATTAAGGCTGTGGTTGGAGAAAAAGCAGCGTCAGTCCAAAGGACAGTGCAAAAGCCACTAGCCATCTGCTAGTGATCTCATGGGCCCCCAGGACCCATGCATGGTCAGTATCTTGGAAGGCAACACTCATGCTCAATTCTCCCTACTCGCACCACCTCAGCCTGCACCACCCAAAACTTAAAGCCAGAAATCGGGAAGCGCACCATTATTGATGCCTGTGCTCCCAAACTAACCCATCAAATAGGACCAGTTTGCCCTATCTCCTAAATATCTCTATCTGTCTACCTCTCTCCATCTCTATGCTCCATGTTTCTTCATATCACTGCTTGCTTACCATCTGTTATGGGCTGAATTGTGTCCCCCCAAAATTCTTATGTTGAACTCCTAACGCTCAATACCTCAGAGTGTGACTGTATTCGGAGCAAAGGCGTCTACAGGGGTGATTAAGGTAAAATGAGGCTGTTAGGGTGGGCCCTAATCCAATCTGGTGTCCTCATAAAAGGAAGAATTTGGGCACACAAAGACACATGATGGGCATGTGCACACAGAGGAAAGACCATGTGAGGACACAGCAAGAAGCTGGCCGTCTGCAAGCCAAAGAGAGAGGCCTCAGGAGAAACTAAACCTGCCATCTTCATCCTGACTTCTAAGCCCTAGAACTGTGGGGAATAAAATTTCTGTTGTTTAAGAAGCAGCCCTAGCAACCTAATATACCCTCCGTTATAGATCGTATAATTACCTGACTATTTGTATCAGTTTCAATTTCAGTCTCGTTCACTTCAATGGAAGCCCATGAGGGCAGAGAATGCATCTGCCCGGTTCACTTAGATAACCCAGACCAGTGCCTGGCATGGAGTATATGCTCAGTAAATACACAGTGAATGATCAGTGGCTGTCTCTCCATCACCCTGGTCCAGGCCACTACCGTCTCTTGCATGACTCCAGAACTTTCTTCCTAACAAGCTTCCTGACTTCTCTATTACCCTTCAACTCATTCTCCACAGAGCATCCAGAGAGATCTTTTAATACTTAAAAGAGATCAAATCACCCCCCAGCATAAATCCCTTCAGTGGTGCCTCCCTGCGCTTATGTTAAAATCTAAACTGCTCAGGATGATGTTCAAGGCCTGGTGTGGCCAGCCCCCAGCTCCCCTCTCCAAGATTAGCTCAGACCAATTTCTCCTGTGCTCCCTGTGCTCTGGATACTCCAGCAGCATTAAGCTCATTCCCCCTGAGGGGTCTCCGCACTTGCTGTTTCCTCTGCCCAGAATCCCCCCTCCCCAAATCATTATACAATGAACTCCTTCCTATGACTCAGGTATCAGCTCAGATCACATCTTCAAAGATACCACCCCGACCACTCTATCTGAGGAGATCTCAGTCACTTACATTATATTCATAGCATTATCACTATCTGAAATCATATTAGTTATTATTTAATATTAGTTAGTTACTTAGTGTCTTTCTTTCCTCTGCTAAGACCATAGGGACAAGGACCTAACCTATCTTGATCACTTAAGTATCCCCTGTGTCCAGAAGAAGCTCTTGACATATAACTAATGCTCTGCAATTTACTTGTTGAAAGAAAGGATAAGTAAAAACCTGGACTGGACATGGATTGAACACAGATCCTTGGGAAGGGATCTTTGCTAGGCCCTGCTCAACTCCACCTGACTCATGAGCTGTGGATAGACCCCTAAGGAGTGTATGCACTGCCAGTATTTGTACACATAGTTAAATGGAATTTTCCAAATTCCAGCCACTATCGCAGATTCCTCACATTTTGATTTCTGGGAAGTTTAAGCTTAAGCTGCCTAAGCAACAAGGTTGAACTCAGTCGAAGCATATTACGCAGGAACATAGCCAGGGTCATGTCTTCCTGAGTTACATCCCATGGCCCATTTGCTGGGTAACTGGCTCTCAAAAATTCCACAACCATGCAATCCACACTTCTAGGCAGGAAAGTATGAAGCTGCCAGGAGAATTCTAAATTCAGGAGTAGTGCCAATGAGACGAGGATTCCAAGGGGAGCCATAAGACTTTGGGGGTAGAAAGGCATCCAAATGTCCTTCAGAAAACCCTCTCCCACAGAGATTTCTCAGATAGAAGGAAGCATTTGACTGCAACAGCAAACCACTGACAGCTCCTGGAGTTAAGGCAGAACTTTTACCAATCTGGCCTTGAAGGCGGTAAAGGCCGGGACAAGAGTCAGGTGATAGTTTGGGCCTCACGGAAGAGGTGAAAATTGTCATTAGAGAACAGAGTTCTGGGGTCCTGGGAGAGAAAGCCAGGCCAGATTCTCCTGGGAAGAGGCAAACGTCACCTATCAGAAAGAGCAAGTGCAAGTATCAAGCTCAGGGTAAGAAGCAGGAATGCAGCTGGCTGCAGCAAAGGTGACTGTCCTCTATGAGGACAGGATGTGTGTAGGGCTTGGGGAAGACTGAGACTCATTTCAGAGAGATTGCCTTAAACTGGTGGCTGTGCAGGGTTGAGTGTGTGAGGCTAAGGGGACCACCGGTAGAGCAGACATCTCCCAACACAGGTGCCCAGTCTGAGGTCAAAGCATTCTCCAATGGGCAGCTGATGCTGACTCCCAGGAGTCGGAGGGAGGGGAAGACTTAATCCTGGTGAGGGGGACTCATCTGCATATCCTCTATATAAACCCTGCACAGCTGGGGGATTCCTGGGACCCGTTTCACATGAGGTCTGGTTCAGTGGAGATATTTGCCAGGCATGACTGAATGGACAGATCCATCAGATAAAATCCCAGACTCAGGAAGCAAACCGGAGGGTAGGGACCTTGAGCCAGAGTAATGGAGAGTCCAGCAGGACCTCAGCATTTCTGAGATACTGGTTGATTTCTGGGAAAGATTCTCTTGCACAGACACCAAACATAGTTATCCAAAATACTGTCTTGCCAAAACCCCTTGGAACCCGTCCCAAACTCCCTCAGAGAAGGTGCTCTAAGACAATGAGTCAAACAATGGCATTCTAGTGCCAGGGGAAGGAAGAGGTGTTCAAGGCTCTGACAAATTCACTGCAGCAGACATGGGAAGAGACATTTCAATTAAAGCAACATGGATGGGGCTGAAACGAGAACAGCCCCAAAATGGGAGGATTGGAAGGTACGTAAGGCCAGAGCACATGACGTCTCTTGAAGGAAGAGCAAACTGCACCATACCCAATATAGCATGACTCATGGCTATAAGGAGAAAGTAGAGAGAGCCCTACTAGGAGTCACTGGAACCAGATGGCTGCCAAGAAACTAATGGAATTCTCCAATTTGCAGAACACTAACAAACTAATGGGGCTGGCATCCCAGCGAGTCCTCCTGAGGGCTACCATAATCACCATGCACATCCCTTTGATTGCAGTTTCCCTCCACCAAATGTCTGTAGATATGATGCCATCTCAACTTCTTGCACCTGGGACTTCTCCCCTCTGAGATTTAGAGAACTTGGGAACCTCAGTTCCTTGCTCAAATACCTTCAAATAACTTAGACTAAATACAGCCACGAGAGAGAATTTCAGAGGGAAATTGGATGGACATGGAGGAATGAGATGCCTTTGAGGACTCCTGAAACCGTACCATAAGTACTAACCACTGTGAGAAACCTCTCCCTACGCCTACACGGAGCTGATGAGTGTATTTAAAATTACTTTTAAAGGATTAATAGCTTTGGGGTACTTTTCCCTGTGAGGGAACAGTGTGCTAATTCGCTCAGTGCTTTGGTGGTGTTCTTTTTTTAAGACAATTGCAAAAGATTCTATGCAAAGCCCTCTAATTCTTCCACTTCAGTGGTCTGAATCCCACTAATAAACAATCAGGACTTTAGACTCCCTTAATAATGGAGAGAGATTCAAACGAAGATGTTTTGCTACTCTCTGCAAATTCCTGTAGGTGCTTCCTGTTGAAAAGGCCGGCGAAATTACGGATTTATTCAGGACTGATTGCATTGAGTATGTAAGCATTTTTGAAGGATTAAAAAAGAGAGAGAGTGAGAGATGTTTGTGAGCTGAATGAATAGGGGGATTGCAGCCTCCAAGCTGCCCAGTGTGGCATGGAGCAAGGCTGTGTTAGGAGCAGGCAGCAGACTTACTGCATGGATGAGCGAGGACCCGGACCTCGTCCACAGCGATGTAGCCAGGATGACCCTTCAAAGAGACGGATTCAAATATCACCTGCAACACACAGGGCGAGAGTCAATTTCACAGAAGTGTTGGAGGCATTCATCACAGGAATCTGCCCAGCCCCCAAACCTTGACGTTTCTGCTTCCCATCAGAACCACCCAAAGAAGCCTTACATTAGCCTAGGACGCTACCCCGGCAATTGACTTGGATTTTCAAAACAAGGTAGAAAGGCCACACTCTGGTGACTAGCAGAAGAAGAGTCAGCCACATGGAACATTTTTAATGGATTTCAGAAATAACGCTTGGATGCAGGGAAAACACCGGAATATGGCCTGCAGACCCAATCTGCACCTGTCTCATTGTTTCAAGTGAAGCACAGAGAAAAATTCCTTCCTAATATCCCAACTTCCTTATGAAGGGTGAGGGAGAAGCTTACTTTGGAAGCTACCATAAGCCAAGGAGGGTTTATCCTGATTTGATTCTACATCCCCAAGGAACATCTTCCATCTGAATTTCTTAATAACACATCTGGAAAATAAGCCCCATGCACAACTATTGGTATCCGGGAGCCCAGGGGCAACAAGTTCTTTGAACTCTCCCTTCTGACTCCCACCCAAACTGCTTATTTCAGTAATGATTTAAAACTCAGTTAGTTTATTTGTCACCCAACCTCTATCTTCACCTGGGAGATGGGAATATCTGTGTGGACAACATGACCAACACCCTTAACCTCCCTAATGCCTATGGCCTTATCTTCCAATCAGCTTCGGCTACACATTCATATTCATCCTTCTCCACTCCAGAAACTGGAACTTCCATCCTCCTGTACTTTGGCTCTGCCTCCTACGCCACACTCCTCTCCCAACTCACTCCTCTTAAACCTGCTCCTCAGGCTCAAATGGTACCCTGGACCTCAACTTTTCTAGAACCTGTAAGCCTGCCTGGTCCCCCTGTATTCTCAACAAGCCACCAAACATTGGCTAATCACCTATCCCATTCTCATCTAAAGCCCCAATTCCTTCTTACCCTTATTTCAACCGTGGCAAAGCCTATTGCAAATGTGCCTTCTCGACTCTTATACCCCACTCAAATGTTCCTCTTTCAACACCCACCCACTCAATCCCAGCAGACACCCACATCTTCAAGAGGCAAAAGGACAAGAGAGGCTTGACTTCTAACTTCTGACCCATCAACCTACTGCATCCATACCAACCACTGCCTCCTCTCTGCAAGGCATGCTGGAGCTCTTGACCCCTACCTCTACTGCATTTTTCAGCTTCTTGGTTCTTTTGGTTCTCTCTTTTTCTCTTGTATCTTCAAACTCTCCCTATTATCCCTGACTTTGACATTCATAAATGCTTGGGCTTCTCTTATTCTTTAAAAGCGACCCTTTGGCATCAGGTTTGTCTCTAGTATAGTTCAATTGTATTTTAATCACATTTAAAATTCTCAATAGTTTTATTTACACTCACTCTCAATTCTTCCTTACTTCCCACTGCAAAACTTGAGTCCACTATAATCTAGACTGTCTCTCCAATACTCCCTCCAAAACTGCTCTCATGGCAGACACCAATAATCTCTTAGACGCTAACTCCAATAGATATTTCTCAATCTTTATCTGACTTTAAGAGGGAAGATAGTGTAGTATTTGGGCCCTGGATCAGAATGGGTTCCAGTCCTGGCTGTACCACTTACTAATGTGTGACCTTGGACAAGTTACCTACTCATCTGTAGGTGTAGTCTATCTTACTGAGTAATTATTCAGATTAAAGCAGTTAATACACTACTTAGAATAATGTGTGGCACATGGTAGATTCTCAACAAATGTCTGCTATAATTATTACTAATACTTGACCATTTTTCTGTGGTTGTCTATGTTCACAGCTTCTTCCTTTCCAGGTCTTTCATTTAGGCTCAGGCGACACTCCACTCTCATGGTTTTTCTCATAAATCTAGGACTATTCTACCATAGGTTTCTTGGTAAGCACTTCTCTTCCTACATCCACCCTTTAAGTGTGGGCCTCTTTTACTCATTTTTTTACTGCACACACTTCCTTCAGTGGCTGTCAATTCACTGATAATCCCCAAGCCCAGCTCTCCACTCTAGACCTTTCACCTGAACATCATTCTCATTTATCCAGCTCACAGATCTCTATTTCCCCCTAAATATCATACAGATCCTCAAACGCAGGCTGTATGCAGCAGATCTGAGCAGCTTTCCTGTCAAACCATCTCCCTCACTGCCCAACAGGCCATCGTTCCTGAAATATGGTCCTTGGTGGGTTGCACTATGACCCACCCAGTCACTGAAGCTTAGGATTTAGGCCTCTGCCTGGACTTCTCCTGCTCGTTCCTCACATTCATTTTCATTTTGATTCTGTTTTCCTAGTATTTCTCAAATCTGCCCATGTCTTTCCATCTCCGCTATTACATTGAACCACATGAAGTAACCATTTTCTAGGTTAAAACCAATTGGATAGCAATGCCACTACTCTGGTTCAAATCTTTGTTGCTTTTCATCTCTAAAACCTCAAGAGCCTATGAAATGGACCCCCTCCCTTCCATCTTTTACTCCTCAGTTTAAGTCTGTGGATGGAATGCATGGTGGGTGATGTCATCAACGGGAAAAGCTCCATGTGGGATCTTTTTGTGGTCCATGTGGTCACTCTAGGTTAGTGGATTCAGAGGTCAATGGTCTCAGTGGGGCTCAGCGCTCCAACAGCTATAACAAGTGAGCAGGGAACTGGTGGAAAGGGTGGTGACGGCTGTGAAGAAGCAGCTTCCTTGGGTGGTAAGACCTGTCACTGAGACAACAGGTGGCTGCCTGGGAATTATGTAAAGTGACTTGGAGATGACAGTCACACCAAACATACAGCAGCTGGCACCAGCATGACAACCACTCTGGAAGAGGGATCCACTAAGATTGCAGGGTCCTTCCAAGAGACTTAACAGACAAAATTGTGCAGTGGGTAGGGGGAAAGTTTGAAGAAACAGCAGTGTGATAGCTGCCTTATCCTGCAGAGGAGGAAGTCAACAGAAGACCTTACTATAAAGAATTATGCATCTAATTATATTTTTAATAATTCAAAGGAAACCAAAAGCAAAGTCTATTAGAAATTTTTTTTAAAAAAAAGAACATACACAGAAAATACATTTAAAAAGAAATAGCATGAAAGCATTCAAATTGTGCAATAAAAATTACAAAATTATGAAAAAATAGTTCCGTTGTGACAATAAATATAAACGGGTTAAAATAGAGAAAAGCATTCAGACTGTCTAAATAAGCAAAGTCTAAAGGTATGCTACAAGCTAAACAGAACGACTCAGTAACCTTAAGAATAACAAGTCGAACAAACACATAACAAGGAAATGCAAGTAAACAGAAAATAGTTATTGCAAAAATAACACAAAAGCATCAAAGTAGAACTTAAACCAAAAAGAAAAATAAACACTAGTAAGTGGACTAAAATGGTTATGTTAAAAAAAGTGCATGAGTCGGGGCTGGCCCCGTGGCTGAGTGGTTAAGTTCGCGCGCTCTGCTGCAGGTGGCCCAGTGTTTCGTTAGTTGGAATCCTGGGTGCAGACATGGCACTGCTCATCGGACCACGCTGAGGCAGCATCCCACATGCCACAACTAGAAGAACCCACAACGAAGAATACACAACTATGTACCGGGGGGCTTTGGGGAGAAAAAGGAAAAAATAAAATCTTTAAAAAAAAAAAAAAAAAGTGCATGAGTCAATAGACTTACAAGAGAAATTGATGGGAAAACAAATAGTATTTGAAAACATTAACCCATGCTTTACACTCTGACCAATCAAATAGGAAAAAATAAAGATATCAAGTATGTATATAAAATGAACAATAATGTATTTACCAGACATATATTAATGAATATAAAGAGAGAATGAAATTTCTGTTCAAAAGCACATTGATTATTTACAAAAGAATATATAAAAGTCTAAAGTATAACTTCTAAAAACCCTCAAAGAAGAAATTGTATAGATTTGGGTCTATACATTTTCTAACCAAATTCACATTTGGAAATTAATGGCAAAAGCTTAAAAATCAATTTATTAAAATTGAAATATTGTAGGGGCTGGCCCCGTGGCCGAGTGGTTAGGTTCGCACACTCCGCTGCAGGCGGCCCAGTGTTTCGTTGGTTCGAATCCTGGGCGCGGACATGGCACTGCTCGTCAAACCACGCTGAGGCGGCATCCCACATGCCACAACTAGAAAGACCCACAACGAAGAATATACAACTATGTACTGGTGGGCTTTGGGGAGAAAAAGGAAAAAAATAAAATCTTTAAAAAAAATTGAAATATTGTATATCTTTCAAATATACAATACTTTCTTACTAACTATGATGCCCAAGTATGTTTTGTATGTTAACAAAAGTCTGAAACAAAATTAAAAGTCAAGTGGCAAGTTGAGAATAATATCTATAATGTATACGCCAGCTAAAAGGTAAATATCCTGTTTTGTGTAAAAGATTCTTGAGAATCAGCAAAATAAACTCTCTAAAAGAAAAACAGGCAAGTGACTTCAAGAGGGAATTCACAAAAGGTGAAGTAGGAATGGTAATAATCTACGAATGAAATTTTTCCTTTTAATGACACTAGAGAGAATATGGTAGATGAATATTTTCTTCTTTATAATTTCTGGATTTTTCAAATTTTCTACAATAAATATGAACGATTTTACATTTACAATAAAAATTAAATGCTTTAAGGTGCATTATATTTTCCTATCTTTCCGCATGTTATATCTTCGCTATGGCATGTACAGTGTGCAGGTGACTCTGCTGTAGCGCCTATCACACCATGTTGTAATTGCTATTCCCTAAACTCAGTCCACTGGGAGCAGGAACAGTGTCTTCATTTGTTCATTCATTCATCAACATTTACAGAGACCCTCCTCTGTACCAAACACTGAGGCACATGCCGGGCTTATCAAAATGAACAAGACAAGTAGTGCCTAGTCCTGATAAACTTCACATTCTAGTGAATGGAGATGGAAATGAAACAAATAAATATGTAAGTTACAC